ATGACCCATATTTGTACTAACCTGGTCAATAAAATATGGGTCGATTCGACGTAGAAGACCGACTTTAGTTGTTGTGATTACCGACCAAATGTTCACCAAAGTTTACGTCGGCTTAAGTTGGTTGTCAGCCTATTACCAACCTTATTTAAAATTTGCCCTTAATCTGACCTACAAAGGTCGGGTATAGGTAGTGAAACTAAGCAATTTTGTATATTATTCTATTTGTCGTACCTATCTATTTATATAAAATGGATAAGGCGTGTTTATCATTGAGTACGTATTATATACAAAATACTTCGAATAAAATTTTAATAAATCTGATGGGGTAAAAACTGAAACGAAAGAAATTTTATTGATACATATATATAAAGTAGGTCGAAAAATATAGTGAACCCATAAAAATAATGTTTATTTTAAGAACGAAAGTACTATTTTTATTTTTTTACTTTCAAAAAAATATTTTCCGTTTCCAAAGAAGGCGCAATTGAAATATTGTTTAATTAATTTTACGAGTAAATAAAAACTTTTTTGCTTACTTTATTTGAAAAAAAGAGGCAAATTTTGTGTATTTAAAATAATTGTACACATAATCAACATGGCCGCCTATTATTTCCTTCTGTGGAACCAGAAAATATGGCGAAGGCGGAATAAGTGCAACTATTTTTACTAATAGCGACTTCACGGTTAAATAATTTTACCTACACCAACTTTTAGTAGGCTTTGGTGCAGAAATCTGCACTAACACTAACGTTCATTCCAAACAATCACGATAATATCGACCGTCTCTTGCAGTTGGTGTATAAATTTTTACTAAATATCTATCAATACTTGAATTATCGACATTGATTTTGAGGTTATGTTAGACCAAGGACCAAAAGCCTAACACCAACGTCCAACCGATGTTGCTAGATGACTACGTCAATCAGTAACGTCTAACCAACGTTGGAATGTTATCCAAAAATTACCTAAATCTAATTAATCAGTTACCAACGTCTAATCAATGTTGGATAATAATCTAAGAACACACTCAACGTATTAAGTAGATTTATGACATCAAACCAATGTTGGGAAATGTGCTAGATGTAAATAGTAGGTTTGCGAGGTTCAAGCTACGTTGCTCCGACGTTGTATCATAACTATAAAATTTAAGACGCTACTTGACTAATATTTGTAATAATTCTGACCTTATAATTAGTAAAAAAGTAGTTGGTACTCGGTGGTAAAATGTTACTTGAGATAAATGTAGCTGCCTATCAAGTCGGTTACCAACGTTATACAGCAGTAGGTGTATTACCGAAAAATTAATCGGAGCTACTTAAGTTAGTCATTAACGTCTAACCAACGTTGGTTAATAACTAAAAAGGACCAAACCTATTAAGCCACTAACCAACGTCTAACCAACGTTGGCAAGTGTTCCATAACAAACTTGACCTATTCAGTTAGTCACCAACGTCTACCCCAACATTGGTAGGTTACTCAAAATATAACCATACCTATTTTAGTCAGTTGTCAACGTCTCATCAACGTTGGATAATGACTTGAAAACATATCAAACCTTATTAAGTCGTTTTCCAACGGCAAATCAACGTTGGTAAATCGTCCAGACTTAAGCAGTAGGTTTGCGAGGTCGGCGCAATATTTGGTTCGACGTAGTATTACAACTACAAAATTTAAGTTATTACTCGACTACTATTTGTAATAATTCTGACGTCGGAATTAGTCAAAAAGTAGTCGGTAGTTGGTAAAATGTTGCTTGGGCTAGTATATCTTCGCGTGGTGAATGGTATGCTATCTAGTTCTTGCATTAATTAAGGTGGCATTTGCAAGGTTAAGGTTTTTTAATGCCTTGTGAACCATAACACGTTTTTTTTTTAATTTTAACTATTTTTTTACATTTCAAATTTTGTTTCATTTTTCACCACTTTGATAGCAAATTACTGAAAAACCGACCGATAGAAATGTCTGTCATTATAGTACAGTACTGTACACACTAAAACAAACATGTTGCGCTAGGTTTGGTCTGGTAACTAAAATATTTTTTTTTCAATTTCCGGTTATCGCGCGCCGACCAGAAGTTTTGTCTGCCAGCGTAATCGGGGTATGTGGAGTACTATTGGCCGAAAAAAAGTAATCGATTTTTTATCAAGTAGTATGTTTTTTTAAAACAATGTCTGTTGTTGTTGAATTTTACGTCTGTTATGTCGTCAATTCAATTATTTTGACAACAAATTAATGGTGGGGTATTACAATGACATTGCCACAAATAAAAATAATAAAATATATTATGATTGATGCGTCACTGGTTAGAACCATATTTACAATGGGAAAATCAGTCGATCATTTTTTTTCGACCGCAATAGTATAACTAACTACCTATTCGGACAAATATCGGTAACCATTCGATTAAAAAAGAATGTTCCCCCTCCGTATCCGGCCGCTATACCAAAAATTTCAAAAGAGAAAAAAGCATGGTAGGTACTCATATGGTCTCTTTGATTACCGACTAGCAGACGGTAACCTTTCATCATCGAATTTGCACGCTATTGCTAAGACTAACCTACTAGTAGCGATGTAGACAGACAATTAAGACAACTAAATATCATGGTTGTTAAGTTGCCACTATGGCCTCTATGGATACAATATATTAAATCTTTTATGTTTATTTTTGCTGATTGTTAAATTCTATGCAATACAACTAACTGTTTGTAGTGTTGGAATAATATTATATTTGATATGAGAAATCAGCCAGAGGTTTTGTGTTGAGTCAAAACTAGGGGGTCTAGATTAACTGTGGCCCACGGTTTTTAATCGACTTGTTTTGAAAGTTGTTCTTAAATGTCACTATTAGTACGGATCCAACAGTAGTATATGTTTTAGGTAATAATGTAACTGAATCAGATGCTGCCTTTTTACATTAAATATTTTATATCTTTACTTTAGTAGGTATTAATTGCTACCGTCTGTGAATTTACAATTTTCCGATTTTTCGAGATCTTCCGTGAAGTAGAAAAACCTAGTAACTCAAAAAAAGGTCGAGTTGTGGAAAATCTGATTTATGTATTTAGCCAGAAGCCATAAGGAGAAAAAAATATTAAGAAAATTCTAATAATCGATTTACGAATTTTTTGTGTTCATATTTTGATATTTGAATAGTTATTAAAATATTATATATTTTGGAAATTATGTGACTTACTAGCAACGTTTTTTTGTTAAAAGTATATTTTTGCATTAGATCAATCCTGTATATAGTGACTTACTGAAGAATTAGGCATATCCAACATTTTATTTTGCTGCCTAAACCTAGTAAATCAATAACGAATTATTGTGAATATAATTTAAATGACAATGTTCTATTACGAAATAACGAAAATAGCGTCTATGTGGATAAAAGTAAATAAAAATCTGTAAATATGAATATATTAAATAATGGAATGAAATGAAATATAATAACGTCAAAAATTTTTGCTGATTATTATTTTCTAACTTTTACAAAAAGTTATCACAGATAAGTATAACATATATATTTTGAAACAATTAATTTCCCTTCTATTGCCAAAACGCTGAAACTTGGATTATAAAAAAAAATAATATGCACATTAAGTTCAGTACGACTGACACACTAATACTATTTTTTTAATTTTAACTACTCTGCTCAGTAAAACCAAAAATAAATATAACAAATGTACTATCCAGTTTAATAATCAGTGCAAAACTTTGAAACATCTACTGACATGTGTTTCTGCATCTTTGCTTCGTCAAGATGGCCCTTAGAAAACCTCGAAAGTAACTACGAATCTTAGTAAATCCTAATGTAATAAATATTAATGGTGAATAAGATTTGAAGGAAACAACTACTCAGCGGACAAAAGCCCCGATCTGCATTGAATTAAACCTGCAAATCTTGTTTGATAGCTAAGATCATTTGTCAATTCCTCGTTAGACATAGACCGGTTTCGAACTTTTTATGTTCTCGTCAGTATGCCATAAGTAATGAAAAAGACAAATAATAATAGCAAACCAGGCTACACTAAAGCAGACTAAGCAAAACAGACATAGTGAGTGATGAGTGGATCCCTCTGGTGGTCAGTGATGCCTGACTGGTAGTAGCACTGACCACCAGAGGGATCCACTCATCACTCACTAAATATTAATGGCTTCAGAGAACAGAATAATTGAAATTATATATATTCTTCATCTCTTATTAACACGCTTTTATTAGCTTCACTTGTATGTTTGTTTGTTTGTAACCGACTCTTTGGACTCGATTTTGACCCACTTTAAACGGACAGATTTAAATGAAACTTTGTACACTTACGATGAACCGGTAACAATACAATAATTTGATAAGTTTATATCATTATCCTGATCAGGATCGCCAGAATTAAATAATTTCCTCACGTATCCTCTGCGTGAGAGCAAGTGGCTTATTACTGTTAGTACATTCCGTGATTCTCAGTTCGTTCGATGGCCGAGCGGGCTAAGGCACAAGTCTTAGTCGACGCGAAACGACGGACTCCTCGGGCGTGAGTTCAAATCTCGTCTATGGCTGAAAAAAAAATTTTTTTTTTTCAGACGTATCTGTTGGATCGTAATATGTTATAATATCAGCATCAATAAGCAATATAAATATAGTTTAAAAAAACTAAAAAACACGCTTTCATAGCACATCAAACTAAAAAAGTGAAAAATAAATATAGTTTAAAAAAACTAAAAAACACGCTTTTAAAGCACATCAAACTAAAAAGTGAAAAATAATTATTAATATAAACTGAAAACAATAATGAACGAAAAATACTAGTATTATTGTGAAAAAAAGCGTGGGGAGCTTTGTGCCATATTTTTCGTATATCGATCAACCCACGCTTTTTTCACAATAATACTAGTATTTTTCGTTCATTATTGTTTTCAGTTTATATTAATAATTATTTTTCACTTTTTAGTTTGATGTGCTTTAAAAGCACAGAATATTTTGTTGATATTGTCACTTATTTTATTAGCGTGGCTTCGTGGTCGAATGGTAACGACACTTGTCTCTCACTCCGGAGTTCCGGGTTCAATTTCCGGTCAAGGAGCTCGGATTTTTTTCTAAAGCAAAAACTAACGAAACAAAAAAAACATTGGCCGAATTAAAGTAGATTATTTCAATCATTTATATCAAATGTTAAAAAAATTATTTTATTTCGTCAATATTGTAATGCCAAATAAAAATATGATTCACAGTATTTTGCAATTATTTTCAATTTACTAAAGAACTCATATAGACAAATAATTAATTCATACTGAAATTAATTAATTACTATTTCATAAGTTAGGAAGCTGTTTTGTGGTAAAATTGTTACCTTATTTATGAGCAAATGTTTTAATTGTTGCTTTCATAATATAACCATTTTAATATATTTCAAAATATAACAAACTCATAACGTAATACCTTGTTTTCACTTTCAATCTAAAATTAAAAAGCATGAAAGGGAAAAAGTACTAGTATAAAAATTTGTTTATGACTGAATTACTCGTACATACAAACAAAGCAAAATTACATGCGTGGATGAAAAACCTATTTTCTTATGTAATAAAAAAGTTAAGTCCTTAAGAAGGCAATTTCCTCACATTTATACAACAAAAACTATATTACCATGAAGATTCGTAATCTAGGTGAAAAAAATCATAATTGTAGCCAATAACGAGGGTAATATTTTTACATTCAAGAAAACATATTGCCATAAAAATAATCCTGTAAGTTCTATTGCCTGTGACATTTCAGATAATAATATGGATAAACGTCTTTATTTGAGTATGAAATTTGCCTACACGACCGACACTCCCTAATTTTTTGAAACTGATATTTATGTCATATTTAGTCAAGCGATGACATCAGCGGTCATTTTACAGAATAATCTCAAAATATTTTAAATTAACGTTGCGAGTTTATTAATCAATCTTATGTGAGTTATTCATATTGGAATAAGACAAGGTATATTTATAAAATAATTTTAGTTCGGCTTTAACCTTTACAAAAAAACAATGCATATCTAAAATGTAAATATTAGTGTCTAAAGGGAAAAAAATGGATAAAATGCAGAATTGATGCCCTTATTAATTTATCTACTATCTGTTATAAAGCTAAAACCGATTTGATATCACTAGTACTAGTTCCTGTTATAAACGTAAAAAATCGATTATACAGTATAAATATTACTATTACATATTAATTTTAGGAAACTTTTAAATTTAAAAGCAAAAACAATACTGAAATTATTTGTTTTATCTCTTCGTTACTTTTAAATGTATTTACATATTATCAAAATATAATGAAAGCAATAAGTTTTACATAAGCTTAGCGTAAGATAGAATGCAGTTCACTTTCTCCTGCCACAATATAATAAATAGTATACATAATTGCTGTAGCATTTCGTTTTCAATTAAGATAAACATTGTTAAAATATATTATTTATAAATAATAATTAATTAAATTCGTATTTGCTACGAAATTCATATATACAGTGAGTGCGTAAATTAATGCATAATTTAGATAAATTTGACAGAAAGAAATTCTTATAACTGTCAAAAAATATTAAGGCCTTAATATTTGTTATCTCTTTAATAGTAGCTGCGTAATTATTTGAATTTCTCACTGAATTACCTATTCTAAGTCTTCGATATTGGGTCTATTTTTGTAGACTTTACTCTTTCCTACATTATTCTGTGAACTGGAAAAACCTAGTAAGTCACAGTTTTTAATGAAAATTATATTAGGTACATAACATATTATTCTAGCTTGTTTCGTGTTATCATACTTATTGCGAGGTGGTATTCAAAAAGGTTAATGTACTATACGCCGTGAAACTTCCTAGCAAGTCAGTTTATTTAATACAAAGGAAGTACATAGTAAATTTAAAATAATACAGAGAAACATGTAACATTAATATTTGAGCTTAGTTGATTGACTCTTTGATAACCTATATATAATTATATACTATTATATAACATATTTATATGTTTATAGCTCTTTTTTATATTCTGTTATCGATTAGGCTCTATTATCGTCATTCCATAATAGAACGTTGATATTCAACGTATTTACAAAACCGCTTAAATCAAACGATATTGATTTACTAGGTTTAGGCAGGAAAATAAAATGTTGGCCATGCATGTTTAATAAGTCAGTATACAAAATTTAGCCAATGTAAAAATATACTTTTAACAAAAAAATGTTTCTAGTAAGTCACATAATTTTCAAAGCATATAATATTTTAATAAAAACTATTCAAATTTCAAAACATGACACAAAAAAATTCATAAAATGATCATTATAATTTTCTTAACATTTTCTTCCTTCTTATGGCTTCAAGCTAAACACATATATCAAGTTTTCCACAACTTTACCTTTTTTGAGTTAAAGTTTTTTCAGTTCATGGTAGAATTAAAGTTAATGCTCTGACAATTTAAGTAAAAAAAAATCTGAAAATCGGTTGACTCTGCAGGCCATCCCTGAAACTTCCCGCTATTTTCGAGCTTAAAGCGCTCAAAAATATACGTATTATTTTTGAGCTCTCCGAGCCCAAAATATTATACATACATTTTTGAGCTCTACGATTAGGTGAAAAATCTCGAAGTTATATTAAAAAAAATATTTTTTTTGTAATTTTTTACCTACGATATCTTTTGAACAAATTAACCAATCGAGATGCAGTTTGCAGCATTCAACGCAGTTTTTCAAGTACAAAAAGTTATGTTTGTACCAAAAATCGATTCGACAAAAATTTTGAATGTTATTCAAAAAAACACGTTCTTGCGAATTTTTCGTAATCGATATCTCTTGAACAAATCAACTGATTATGATGCGGTTTACGGAATTCACGCCGTTTTTTAAGTACAAAAAGTTAATTTAGTATCAATAATTGATCTGACAGGAATTTTGAATGTTATTTCAAAAAAACACTTGTTTGCGAATTTTTCGTAATCGATATCTCTCGAACGATTCAACCTATTTTGATGCGGTTTGCGCATACGCTCGACTTTGTTTTATAAGGAGAAAAGCTGATTAGATTTTGGAATTGATCGGTTCAGTAGTCTAAAAGATATTCCAAAAAAACAAATTTTTGAAAATTTTATTTTTGAGACTTCTCAAAATCTACCTAATTCTCAGGAAATCTAAGTTGAGTCAACCCCTTTAGAATGACGCAAACTGCGTTTCGATCGGTCAAGCCGTTCAAAAGTTATGAGAGGTTTATATACACCGTACACACATATACACACATACAGCCATATAGACACCATCGTGGAAATAGTCAGAATAGCTTCTTAGGACCTCAAAACGTCGAGATCTGACAAAAACTCGATTTTCGAAAATCGGGGTGAAACCAATAACTTCCCGATTTCTGAAAATTTTCAATTTTCTTAGCGGGAAGTTAAAAAGTATCTAATTTTTATGCCAACTATTTACTTACACTTATAGTAGTTATAGCTAACAGATTAACTAAAACATTTCTACAGATCTATTTTGTGAAAGCAATACTAAAAATTTCAAAATGATTAACTCATTTTTGGGCCAAAATAAAGTATTCCACTTTTTAATATGAATTTAATAAATAAATTATCTGTAAATCAGATTTTTAAAAATGTTATTTCGATAATATAAACATCCTCTTTAGTCATACACTTATATAGACAATAAATGAAAAATTATTACTTTAACTGCTGCTACTAATTATTGCATTTTCATGTCTAGATTGAAAACTGAAACCTAACTAGACCGACAGAGAAAGTAAAAAGACAACTATTGGCCTAAGTTTATAATTCACCTACAATATAGGTCACTTGTTTGACCCGTCTCTTTAATTATTACTTCTAACCTTTCACTAGGAATTTAAAAAACACAAAGATGCAATGGTTTGACTTCAAATAAAGTTTAATTTTTTATCCTTATTTATCGGTACCATAACAAACAATAATTATTATTGTATAATACATTACATAATAAATAATTATAGTTAGATACAGTATTTACGTTCATATAATTGAAAATTGTTAGGAATTAAAATATATTCATGTAGTAACTTATACAATATAAATATATTTTTATGTGTGTGGAGTTTATCCCCCCTTTTAATAGGAAATAATAAATCGAAGTTGTACTAGATTGTCCTAGCGTACTATTGTGTACCGTAGACATTTTTTCAAAATACCAATGCTTTTAAGCAAAAGGCGGTTATTTGATTTACCTCTCTCCTTACTTATTTTTCAGAAAAAACTATAAAATTAAGAAAAAACCCCACGTTTTGAAATATTTAGTTGTTTTTTCATTGTACTAGTTGTGCTGAACACTGCTTCACTAATGCTAAGGCTGACGAGAGACAGCTTGTTTGCCTCTGATTTACATTGTAATGTTGCCATTTAAGAGACCCATGTCTAATGATTTAGGACACATATTGTATACAACTCACCCATAAAAAAAATATTTTTACATTAAATTAATTGTCACAGTACCTAACTAAAAACCCGTAAAAATGTAAAAAATCTAAATTTCTGCCCCAGTGATATTCTGGTTGCAGGTGACATTTTACAATATATGGCAAGGATATAGCTTTCTAAAGGTGATTAATGGAAGGTATATTGGAATTATTCTGTTAAAATGTCATCAAAAATGAAATATTTGAATCATGGTAAAAATGAACACATGTTTGTCTGCTATTCATATTAAAAAATCGAGTTCTGTTATATTTACTTAATAAACTAAATAAAACATACATTTTCAGTTCTTTCAATTCAAAAATGGTTATTCTCATTCTGCAATTTAACACTTTTTTTTTTATAAACCGCGAAATTCTTATTGCTTTTATTATCATTTTTGTAGATTAATGTATCTGTTTAGTGATTTCTTGCTAACTAAAACAATGTGATCTTAATCCATTAGGTCTTGATAAAATATAAATTATCTAATCACAATTTTAAGTTACGCAAGTTTTTAATCGATACTTTTATGTCACATTAATTGTTTAATATGTTAGTTATATTGGCGCCCGCTGTTATTTAAACAAACGTGTTTTTACGTCCAGGGTCAAATGAAACACAACAAA